ACGAAGCCCAAATGGTATTGGCAGGGAATACCGAGTTTGTTGGACTGGTTTTAACCTCTCCCACCTTTGTCAACTTTCGGACCAAACCGTCACCTCAATTTTTTTCTCAGTGAGCTAGTCGTAAAAATTGTAAAAGTAGGGCAAACCGAATGAAATCCTCTTTAGGCGATAACCCGGATAGCATGTTCAAGGCGCAGTGGTGTAAAAATAGGGTTATTATTAGGGTGCAGAAGTGAGAGAATGGACTTGCCCCGATATTTCGATGGTAACAAAAGAGGCGAGAACTGAAAGGACGACTTACCCAGGCACAGAATTGAAGTCAATGAAATTATTCTTTTGCTGTGAGCACTTTCCACGGCCACACTATGGGTATCTATGTGGATTTTAATGAACCACTGGAGGCGATCAAGGACGGTTAAACAACTTCGCAAACTATTTTAGTCAGCAGCAAATAGGCCGATGAATTTAGTCTGGAACTTCCAAAAAAAGAAATACCAATTTTGGAGAGAGGTTTGCAAGGAAGATAGATCTAAATGCGAAACAATTTTTAATAGGGAGCAAACTGCAGAGCTTAAGCTATTGTTGTGGTGGCATCAAGACATCGAAGTTGTTTGAACCCTGATCAGGTTAAGAAAGCGAGAGAAACTGGCGCAATAATTACATTCCGTTTGAAAATCCGCCTTATTACAATATGTAGGAGATGTGTATTGGGGATTCAAGTCCTACCACAAGTCGTCGCTCTCTTGGCAAAACTGTAAGGAGTTTTAAAATGGGTCCTTAGTTGGTTGGAATCGGGTAGTAGTCTGTTACTGACTTATCGTATGACCATCTACAAAAAGGCGCCTTATGTGAGGTTCAGGTATTGCATCCAGGTAGCGGAAACTGGAATGTTGGTCTTTAGAATGCAGTTCGCCACTAACACAGCTTTCTAAGTCATCCCAAGGTAGTAATAGGGTTTACTACCTTTATGTCTTTCCTTCTTCGATGTTCCCATTCAACGAAAAAGGAATGGGAAATAGGTAAGCTTATTTTACAGGTGCTTTAATGCTAAATGAATTATTCCTTCATCACTTATGAGTTTAAATCCTTAAAGAATGATATTTGCGTTAAGAATATCTCTGGGAAGGATGCATGATGTACATTGATGGCCATGTTTACGAGCGAATGTATGCATCTCCTGTGAACATCTACATCTAGGAAGATCTCCAACAAAGGGGCCTTCAAAGCTGCGTACAGTTTTGAGAGCCGCCTTAAACAGAAACATCAAATTAGAATAACCGGAAATTGTCTGCATTGGAGTATTCCAAGGCATCTACAGGCATGCCTTTACAAATAAAGCTAGAAAGATAGAAGCGACTCAGATAGAATGCCAGAAGAGATCGAAAATGGGATATGGTAGGAAGGGGAAATCGGCGAAACTCCCTGCCGACATTCAAAATGGACTCATCGTAGAGCAGTCCCTCAAAGGATTGCACATTGCGAATAAAAGTCTGATATGGTCCAAATTTCCACTCATTTTGATGGAAAATCGGAGAACAACCTGCTCCAATAGCTTGTGTTCGAATTTTAAAACATTAAATATGTTATGATAGACAATGCAGAAATCACCTCGGAGAGAGTCAAAGTGGTGATCAACAAAAAAGTCGTACTGTAAGCTTTATCGGCAAATGTCGTAGCCTAAGGTTCCTACATGGATGTGGACTGGACCCCATGGACCGGATAAATGGTAGTTAAAGAAGTCTGAGCAGATGATTGTATCATCAAGGTAAGGAGAGAGGTACGGTCCGTGGGTACGCGGCCAGCGGCTAGAGAGCAGATTAAAGGTGAAACTGCGCGCCGCTCGCTGATTTCTATTACGCGTAGTCATGGTAACTGATTGACCTTCGAGGTGTTACCAGTATACTTAAACCGCATTCCTGCATGATATAAGCCATTCAGGGAGGAAATGAGTGGGAACACGAAGCCATAAATTGGATCTCCTAGAAGATCGAATCCCATGAGACGGCGATATATATAATTACGATATTTTTAAAGCAAAAGGATTCTTTAATCACCTCAGACTTCATTACCCACTTAAGTGAAGTTCTGTTCTCTTCATGCCATTCCTGTCATTCATCCACTGAGAAGTAAACTAGCATTGTATACTTTTTACCTTCGAAAAAAGGTGCCCTACAAATGCAGCTTAGGGGATGAAAATGGGGGTTCTTATTAAGAAGAAATCATTTTGATTTGTACCGATTACCTTATCGTTTTAAGTATCTACCCCCTAAAGTTGGCCCTATGAATAAATCAGGTCAATAAAATGGACATAAATATTTTCCCAGTTGGGAAATATGCACACTTCTGCAGCCGGAAACTTTGTGTTTCCGAAGTCATTTAAGTCAACTCACTGAAGCATGTCACCACAATTTAGCATAATTTTGGTGACTCAAATCAACTCAACACACCACAAAGTCACGCAAGCTTGGTTTTATTTAGGAGACAATGGTATTGTTTTCATACAGATCAGCGAAAGCAACGAATTATTCCTGCAGTAAGCCAATTTACACTAACGGATATGGGCCTGCAATTGTTTGAATGGCAAGTAGTTTATTGCCTTTAGAACTGATATTTACCGTTTTTCAAATGCTATTGGCTGTTCTCGGGGTATAAGTGAGTTGAGAGGCTGAGCGAGATGTTGCATTAAGGAGAGATTTTCAGCATTTGAAGCTCCAAAGCTTGCGTCTATGCTGTGCATCATGTAGGTGGTACCTGTAACTTCTAAAACCGTCTGTGTGTTGATAACAAATTATGCTCATTACAGCTTCAAGGAGGTCTGAAGGGGTTATATTGATGTCAACGGCAAGAGAACCCTATCCGGATGGACAGGCATAAGGATTCCTGTGGATGATTGCCAAGCCTTTGTGTCACGAGAGGAGGGCATCCGCTACGAGTAACTGAATCTGTGGTGAAGTCCAAAACAGGGTTACAATGCATCTAACTGACATTACCCCAATCCTTTGGCCTACAGGGAGGATATTTGCTTCTGACATCCACAACACCTGAACAGCAATCCCGTCTTATTGTTCTATAAATTTCATTTCGGTAGTCGATGTTGCGGGTAGCCTAGATCATTCCCCGCATGGGTAAACATGGCGTGGAAATCCACTCCCTACGAATCTGTAGTCACGATAAGGTCAAGGCCCTTTAAACTACTATAAACTCCCTAGAATGGGTCAACTCGGCATAGCACTTCAGTCAATGCATACGCACGTGGATGTCCTCTTCTAATTTGATATGCTTTATCAGTATTGAAGGCCTCGTTCTCCTGGCGTCCAATTTTCCGAATACTCCCGTCGGGATCTCGCTATTTCCTGCACCCATATAATAAAACACTCGTATGCAAAAGCATTACAAGCTGAAGCGACGCCAAATCTAAAACGTTTTGATGTCCACCATGGAGCCCTATATGGTACTGATATTGAGACGTTAATTCGCTAGAAAAAGTGTGACTCCTACGCATCTCAACCTCCTGAATGGAATCCAGACAGGCGACTAGGCGATACTGAAATGATAATAAAGTGAAAGGAAGAAATAGGTATAGGATAGTGTGCTGGCGAAGCTACTTTGAACTCCATAATTTATCAAATTGTTGTCCTTCTGGGGAGATGGTCGAAAGAATGCTGATTGGCATACAAGATGAACTTGCTGCGGGACAGCACCCAACACCATTGAAGCGGTAAGAGATCAGTCAATCTCCCCTTTCAAGTACAGTTCACAAAGAAGATAAGTTTCTGCCACAACACAAACGTCGAGTTTTATCATTAACGCTTGGATAAAGTGTCGTCTCTACCTAAAATGATAAACTGCTGCTTTTCCAGGTTATTTCCTACCGGTTTTTAAACCACTGGGTGCCTTGTAATGGCCGCCATCGCGGATTGTCTGAGGTAAGCCCAGGATAGGAGACTTGGAAGAAGAAGTGGAGGGCAATGTAATTGTATGGTATTTCGTTAATCCACGTTTTGGTCTGCAAAATCTGAAGACTTCGCGAGCCACAGCATTCCAGTGCTGCAGGCTACCCGGCCATGCTTATAGTTTGCGAATGCTTTCGTAAGAATACGAAATTGTTTCAGGTTAATATAGCAGTTTCTGACTTATGAAAAAACCCCAGGTACTATTTAACTCATCGGAACAAATGAGTCACTACGGCATAAGTGACCAAAAAGATAAAAGGAGATTTACAGTATTTGTT